TGTATGTGTTATCATGGAGACCAGCCCATGCTGGAGGCATGGGTTCCTTTGTCATGAGGTAGTCATGAAACACACAGGAAAAGAAGAGAAAAGGGCCTCCCTTTGGGGTGAGAGGTGCTCAGGCACTCCAAGAGTTGGGGTTCTCCTCTCCCTGATCCAGGCAGAAAGGTCTGGATCCAAACTGCCATGTGTTTGAGTCCGGGGCCCCCCAAAACTAGTCATGTGGTGTTGGATGGGTGTACTGTGGCTCTCTGCACCTCAGTTTTCTCGTCGCTGAAGAGGAGGTAACAACCCACCTCATGAGGCTCTCAGGAGATGAAATGGACTATCATGTGTCCAGAGCCCAGTCTGGCACGTCGGGCACGTCGTAGATGCTGGAACATGAGGACCATTGGAAGGGTCACCGCCACTCCTCCTGTCCATACCTGTCCCAAGTCTGTGATAGGCCATCGAGGACACACTGCCCTGTGGTTTCATCTGTTGCTTTAGCTTCTTTGTAGCCAGTTGCCCAGAGCTCACCTGCTCCCTCGGTCCCGAGCAGCGCTGGGGAGAGCTGGGCCCAGTGCCCTTCCCTGGTCTAACCGTCCCATGGAGACCGCCGTCCCCTCTGAGTCCCTTCATTCCCGTGGGGAGGTCAGGCCAGCCAGGAGGGGTGAGCTCAACACACTTACTTCACTTCACACACATTAAGTTTGAGCCTCTTAAGACTCACATCCAGTGAAACATGCAAATGGATGCAAATAGGTTCCTGATTTATGCAAAACAGCATGAAAATGCATGTCCTTGCATTTGCCGAAGCAAAAGGCCTGGTCACCTAATTCAGCAGAAATAACAGGGGGAAAAGATCGTGCCTGTCCGTCAGAATTAGGTCCAGGCTGACAAGAACTCAGACCTTCTGGAATGGAGCTGGGGACCCCCAGCCTCCCTGCGCCACAGCCTCCAGTCCCTGGAACCAGGAGCCCACAGCCCTGGGCTCACCAGCAGGGTCTTCTGGCTTCACGGTGGATCTCTCTGCCCTCCAGGTGGGGCCCAGAAGAGGGTTCTCCCCAGCCTCCACCCTGGAGCCATGTGCTCACTGCCAGGCGGGCCGCTTGTTAATGCCATCACTACTAACGCTGAGTGAGCAGGCCCCATGCTGAGCACTTTACACGCGTGGGCTCCTTCACCCCCGGCTGCAGCGTCTTACACACCCTCACAGCCCCGCAAACTAAGGCAGGCAAGGGGAAGACCCCCCCATCTGTGGGAGCCCCAAGCCAATGCTCTCTTCCCTACATGTGGGGCCTTTGTGAACCTTCTCTTTCCAACCCTGGGTTGCCCATGAGGCAGGAGGCTCTGCTCCGAGAAGGCAGAGACAGTGTCTGCTTAGTTGCTGCCCTGGCCCCTGAGCCCCACCCTGAACCTGGCACACAGCAGCCAGCAGCAGACACTTGTTGCTAAATGAATGAATGAATGAATGAATGAGTGAATGAATGAAACCTACTCAGGAATATCACTTGCTCAACCGCGAGTCTATTTTCTGCAAACTTACACCATCGATTTTCTGGGCCCAGCCAGCGGCCCACGATGGGCTGTCTCTCTGTCACGATGGTGTTTATTTCACTTTGCCCTTATTTCCCAAAATGCTTGGTGCGTGATGCCATGTATGTGTCCTAAGCCAGCAGGACCGCTAGAGGTTCCTGCACAAACTGCTGGGTGCGCCGAGCTGGCCGGAGCGGAGGAGCTACACCTCTCTGAAGGAGGGGCTCGGGGCTTCACGGCATGCCTGGGCGTTCAACACTCTACTGGGAGCGTCTCGAGTACAGACACCAGGCGGGGATCCTGCGTGAGATGATAATCAAGTTAATGAGGGCTCACCACCGGCCAGGAGCTGCTCCGAGTATTTAACATAAATTACCTCATTTCATCCTCGAAACATCCTAGGTGGTCAATGCTGTGAATATCCCCAAGTTCTAGAAGAGGAGACCAATGGTGAGGGTTTGCAAACACCCTGTGGTTGGTATTGGCGTTCGGGCACCTGTCCTCACACAGGCTCCTTGGGTGGCAGAGTGGAGGGGGCGGGGCCAGGACACGGGCCAAGGGTGGGGCAGCAGGACTGTGTGACCCCACAGCCCTGGGGTCATCTTCTGAGATGCTGTGTGACACTGGGCAAGTGACTTCACCTCCCTGAGCCTGTCTCCTCCCCTGTAAGGGAGGGATCATAACAGAACCTCCTCCAGGGGTGGCTGTGACAATTCACTGCAGTCAGGGGCATAAGGCACTGAACACGGTCCCTGGGCCCGACAGGACCTCAGCACATGGGGACCAGTATTGGGCAAGACTCGGGTGCACAGAGGGGCTCGCACCTGTACATCCCCTTCACGCCGGCGCCGAACCTCACGCCCGTGTCTCCCGACTCAAGGCCCAGGCGCCCTCCCCACCCTACAGCCCGCCCCTCGGCCCATCTGGCGGGCAGGCTGGCTTCCCAAGCTCGCGCCTGGGACACCTGTAGGAACCTGCTCCCCGCAGAGAGGGAGCCAGCTGCTTGCCTCGAGGAGGGAGTTCATCCTACCGGCCTTCTCACCAGGAAACGTTTGTGGTTTCTGTTGATAGGAAAAGATGACAAGGAATAGCTCGGGTAATTATATTAATTTTCCTCAATTTACACCTTCTTGCTATTTGACGGTTCCCAGGAAAGTGCAAATGAGGAGCTTAGGCAGTTCAGCAGCGCCGTAATTAGGTCCGCATTGTTAAAAAGTTTCTGCTGTGTGTCTTGTTATTAAGTCTCCTCACGGCCGAGGGTCCCGTCTCCCTGTAAGACTGGGAGCACCTGGAGGCCAAAGACGCATCTTCTGCTCCAGCCCGGAGGTCTCCACCATCTGGCTGGAGACTCCCCAGCACACAGACTACAGTCTTCTCCAGGCAGAAATGTACCTTCCCCATGCAACTGGAAAGTCCCTGAGAGTTAGGCTAGGCCACCCCCAGCAGACTTGGGTCCTTAGGGACAGACCCATGTCTCCCCCTCAGACTAGCGGCTTCCGCAGCCAACTAGGCGAGAGGGGCTCCGAGTCCTCCGTCAGACCGGGAGCTCCCTGAGACGAGCAAGGACCTCTCCCCCTGAGCCCAGACCGGGAAGGTTCCGGGTCGGTGGCTCTGCCTCCCCGTCAGACTGCTAGGGTCAGTGTTGTTAACACCCACCCCCATGGCCAGCAGCTGAGCTCATCCACAGCAACTGTGCGAGGCGTCGTGGTCCCTGCTTTAGAGCTGAGGAAACCGGGGCTGGGAGCCACACAGCAGGTGCTCGGCGGAGCCGGGCCTGCACGCAGGCCTGCCGGGTCCTGGACTCGCTCGTTGTCCCAAGTGGACTCCACACACTGTCCTTGTTCTAGGAAAAGTCTTGACGGATTGACAGTTGATGAACGGGATAAAAGCACCCCTTGGGAGCCACACCCAGGCAGGGCATTTGGTGATGAACCTGAGCACAGAGCTCTTTGTCCCACTTGTACTTGGTTGGGCAGGACACTCCTCTCCCATGAGAAGTGGCAGGACAGAAGCGAGTCTCCCTTTGACATAAAATGGAAACTGAGGCCCAGAGCAGACGGGCTCCAGTGGAAGGGAACATGGCTGGTCAATGCCCATGGCCATGGTTCCTCTAGACAAGGCTCCCTGCCCCCGCCAGGGACCCACACGGGACAACGTGCCTTCTGGCAATAAAGCCAACCACTACGCACCCCACCTCTGTGTAGGCCGCCCCCTCTGAGATGCACCCCCTTCCTCTGCACGCCCTTCCCCCCACCAAGCCCACACCTGTGCCTGCCCTGCCCTCTAACCATGTATTTCCTGGGGGCAGGGGTGACCCCACTACCTCACTCGCCTCTGAAGCCCCAGCAGTGAACACGGTGCCTGAGAAGGCTGAGAGGTTTCCGGAAGATGGGAATGCGTGACCACCGGTGGGTGCGATCCCGCCAGGCGGTCGGGACCCGGCTAAAACGTCCTCTCCACAGCGGCTCTTCTCACTCGGCTCCCACCCGAGTGTCTCTAAGCTTGGAGGCTGGGCCCAGGTAAGAGGTCTGCCCCCCATCTCCGCGGAGCCCTGCTTCCCTCCTCCCCACGCCCCGGCGCCGCTGCCGTTGGTGAGTGCGGAAAGGGGAACAGACGGCTGGGTGGGTGGACAGACACGCAGACAGACGACAGAGAGGTGGGTGAGTGGGAAGGTGGGGAAAACACTTCCCTTTTGGGTGGTGGGTTGGGGTTTTGTTTGTTTTGTGTGTGTGTATGTTTTTTTTTTTAATTCCCATGCAGGCAGCTCTAGAGATAGGACGGAGACGGAGCCAGACGAGGGGAGCCAGGGCCCCGGGCAGCCCCGCCTGCCAACCCCCACCGCAGCCCGGGCCCTGCCCCCACCACCCAGACCTCACCCTGCCCTCCCGCAGACCCGGGCCCTCAGCCCCCTCCCGGCCCTGCTCTGCGGCCCCAGGCCCCACCTTCCCCGGGGGGGAAGCCCTCAGCGTCCTGCTCTCCCAGGCTGGCGAAGCCAAGTCCGCCCGCCTTCTCATCACTCATCGCTCCGGAGTTGGGGGCCAGCCTTTTTTTTTTTTTACAAAAAATATTGAGAAAAGAAGCTCCCAAGAGCCCCTTGTTGAGCAGCAGGGAACTTTCCAGCATGACGCAAACAGTCACCTCCGTGTTGTCCCCTACAGCGGCCCTCGCCGTGTGGGGCTCTCCCAGCCGCCCTGGGGATGCAGCTCACGGGACCGGGAAACTGAACTTGTCATTTCACTTCATTTTAATTCATTAGTTTTAAAAAGTAGACAGCCATGGGTGACCGGTGACAACCACATCACACAGCACGGTGCTGGGGCCCCGTTCTCGCCGCACGGCCCTCCTGGTGCCTGGCCCTGTCCTGCCTGCATAGGGCAGTGTCGCTCCTGCCTCAGGGCCACCTCCCGGCGGTGACGGTGACGGCAGCGCTCCGGGTCCCGCCCATCGCATCCCACCAAGAAAAAGCCCCTCCGTCCAAGAGCCACATTATCCTCGCCCTTTATTCCAGCATCCCCCGCAGCTCCAATATGTACAGACTTTATTTATACAGAGATAATATACACCATATATACGTATTTATATATATTCACACACCAGCCCGCACGCTCTCCCCCAGGAGGGGTGCGGGGCTGCCTCGGGGCCCCGCTCGGCCCGGGCGGGGGGCGCGGGGCTTCCAGGCAGTTGTGAGGTTTTGTGTTTTGTTTTCGAAAAGGCCATTTCCTCCAGGGGAGTCTTTCCTCTCCACCAACCTAGACCCCTTCCCCAAACACTCTAAAAAAATTTTTTTTTCCCTAAAAAAGAAGAGGTTTTTCTCTGCTCTGCCAAGACAGCTACTGGAGACCCAGGGCCATCCTCGTGGCCCCGTGCGGGTCCCTGGAAGGTGACTCCACCCGCACTCCCTGGGGGACCCTGGACGGCCGAAGGGCAGCGGTGGGCCGATGGCCCGAGAGCCTGAGAGCCCCGAATGGCTGCAGCCGTGCCCCTGGGTGGGGGGCCGTGCCCCTGGGTGGGGGCTATAGCGTCAAGGGCACCTGCCAGATGAGGAGGGTGCTGTCCGTCTCCCCGCACGGGGCCGGCCTCCCACCAACGCCCGAGGCGCTGCCGAAGTTCCGGTAGCCCTGGCCGCCAGAGATGATAGCCACGGAGCAGATCTCCTTGCGATGGGCGTCGCGGGCGCAGGGCCGGCTGCGCACCCAGACGTCGGGGTCGTCAGCCATCTCGTAGATGGAGCCGTCCTCCTCGCTGTGCTCCAGGGCCGAGCTGTCAGCGGGCGCGGGCTCCCGCACAGAGAGCAGCGGGCCCGGGAGGTGGGCCGTGGAGCGCAGGCGGTACTGCAGAAGGATGCCCTTCTTGCGGGTCAGCTCCCGGCCCACGTGGCTCGGGGGCGCGGGCGCTGGCTCGGGAGCCTGCCCGTCCGGCTTGTCCTCCAGGCCCTCGGCCTCTTCCTGGTCACTCCGCAGGATGTCCAGGGCCAAGATGCTGGTAGCCACAGCCAGGAAGGTCACAGGCCCACAGTGACCGTTGAGGGAGACCATGCCTTTCCCTGCAGGAACGGGGGAAGGGAGAAGGGGCCCGAAGGTCCAGAGCTTTACGTGAGGCACACACACATCTCTGGGAGAACTTTCTGGTCGTGGGTTTGCTTGTTTGCTTGTTTGTTTGTGGTAACTGCAATCTACCTTGGAACCTTGCCAGAGAGCCCCGGGTCTGGGGTGGGGCTCTCCCAAATGTTCCAGGGCCTCTTCCTCTGCAGCGGGGGGGCAGGAGTGACCTCACAGACCACTCCAGGGAAGCTCAGGGTGAAAGCGCCTGCAGCTCCCTGCCTTTCCCAAGCCATCGCCTCCACCTGGAGTCCCTTTGCCGCCCACGTGATTCGGTGACTCGTCCTTGGAAACCTGGCTCCAGCTCCCCCACAGCACATCCTTCTGGAATTCTCCCCTGGAGAGCTGACTGCTCCTGCCTCTGAGCCGCAGTCCCCAGGCCGCCCACCTCCGCACCTGCCACCCTGGACTACAGCTGCCCTCAGCAGACGGCCGCGCTGTGGGGGCAGGGGCTCCGCCTGGCACAGGCCCGCGACCCCAGGACCCAGCCTGGGAAGGACAACACAACCTAGCTGATGAAAGCGGGAAATCCCAGAATTGAGAAAGAGAGACTTCTTTAGCAGAGAGCTCAAGATCTGGCCGGCGCTGGCCTACCGTCAGGGCTCCTCCCCCAACTCACCCCTGCTCTCCGCAGCTTTGTCGCCACTCTCTGAGAAGAGGCAGAGACAGGCCCAGGGCCCTGGGGTCCTCCCGACCCTGCCCTCACTCGCCTGGGCCCCAGTGCCACAAGTCAGACCAGACCCACCCCCAATCCGTGCACATACGTCTGCACATGGCCCCCACCCCAAGGGCCCTCAGGTATGTCTGCCTCTGGAGCCCGGACATTCTGCAGCTGCTGGGGGGAGGGGAGCAGGAGGGGCCTGGCAGAGTCTCTGCCATCAACCAATCAGGGGTCTCAGCCTTTCCTCAAATCATCCAGCCAATATGCATTGCTGTGCCCATTGGCCAGGCTGGGAAATGGGAGACTCAGAAAGAAGGTGGGAGACTGTGGGAAATAGCCCTGACACATCTGGGCCTGATTCACCATCCCACCCGCCCCCGGCCCCGCCCCCGGCCCTGCCCTCTGCAGCAGACTCCCAGAACCTCACCTGTGATCTTGGGGATGCCTTCCAGCCGAGGCACGGGCAGCAGGACGATGACACCCTGGTCAGTGCCCACCCAGAGCAGGCCCTGGCAGATCAGGAGGCTGGTGACGCACAGGTGCTTCTGGCCTGCGGAGAGAGAGGCCAGTGTGAGCAGCACACCGTCCCGGGGGCAGCAGTGGGTTCCAGGCCGCCCCAAACTGAAGAAATGGTACAGTCCAGGCTCCGCCCGTGAGATGAGGAGAAGCTGCATGGGGCGTGGTTCAGACCCGGGGCTTGGGAGGCTGACCGGGCTGGGGGTCCCGCTCCTGGATCCTCGAACCAGCGCTCCCCTCACCCAGCCTCGGTTTCCCCCCATGTAACTTGGGGCTGCGGCAAGGATTCAGTGGGGCAAAGACACAGGGCATGGTGCTGGCCCCTGTCTGCTCCTGCACAGAGGGGCTGGGTCCTCTGGCACAAAGGGCAGACCCAGGCGGCCCACATCAGGGCCACAACCAGCTACCTGGGCAGTAGGGCCAGGGAGGCTGGGAAGGTGCGGGTTTTAGGACGGGGAGGATGCTGGTACAGGCGGATGCATGGAGAGGCGCCGGGGTAGATCCAAGAAGCAGGGGAAATCGGCGAACTGTCACAGCCCCTGAACTTCCAGCCTGGGCTTCACACTTGCCCAGGTGGGCCCTTCCTCCGGGGAGGCCTCAGCGTGCCCTGCAGTCCCCGGGCCCGAGAGCGAAATGGACAGCTCAGTGCCAGGAACGAGCATGTTTTTGATGTCGGCCCAGATTATTCTTGTGGGCTACCCCTGGGTGCTGTCTCTCCACGGCAGCAGAACGCGATGGCAGGGAGGGTCGCACTGCTTGTTACAGGGAGGAAGAACAGCGCGGGCTACACGGCAGCAGCCGGAGCAGGGCTCCAGGCCCAGAGGCACGTTCAGACCCAGCTCTGCCACTTCCTGGCTCCGTGACCCAGGGCCAGTCCCTACACCTCCCCACGCCACGGTGTCCTCGCTTGCCAGAGCGGACGACAAGCACATCCGTGGTGGCCTTGCCCTGAGGATGGAATGAGTCGATGAATGTCAGTCGCTGGAGCCAGGGCCGGGCCCCCGGTGTGTGCAGGCGGGCGCTGTCTGCCTCTGCCGTCGCCGCTCCACCGCTTACAGTTCCGGTCAGTGAGCGCGGGCGCGAGGCGGAGGCTGGGGACAGACCCCCGCCGTCGCAGAGGGCTGTCTTCTCGCTCGCTCGCTCTCGCCTGGATCCTTCCGCCCCGCCGAGAGGGGCTCGCTCTCCCCTCAAAGGAAATTCCAACTCCCGCCACGTATCCCGGCAATACCAACACCACGTGATGTGGAAATGACACTGAGAGCCCCGGTCCCCACCCTGGGCGGCATCGGGGCCACAGGAGGGGTGACCACCCAGGGCCAACCCCGAGGGCTGAGGCCTCCCACCTGTGCTTCCAGCAAGTCCCCAGGTGGCACCGATGCGGCCGGTCTGGGACCGCACTTTGAGAAAAACCCTGCTTTGGAGTGTCGGCAGCGGCCCTGGGCTCGCGCTGATCTGAGACCTGAGCAGAAGCCCAGGCAGGAGACAGCATGCGCAAAGGCCCTGTGACAGGAATGAGCTCAGCGGGTGGGTGGAGCCAACGGAGGCCAGGGCAGCCTGGGGAACGAGCGCAAGCTCGAGGGGACGGAGGGAGGCCAGGAGGGCGGACGGGTCAGGGGAAGGGCTGTGACTGTTCATTCTGAGCATGACGAGAAGCTACCGGAAGGTCTAAGCAGATGAGCAAGAGACTCATCTTAGAGGAGCCTTTTAGCAGTGTGACGGGGGAGGGGGGAGGGGCAAGGTGGTGGGGGCAAGGTGGGGGCGGCCAGGACGCAGGGGTGGCAAGGAGAAGATGAGAGGCCAGCGGGTTCGAGGTCTGTTCTGAAGCAGAACGACAGGCCCTTTGCAGACCAGAGCAGGACGAGAGGAAAGGAGAGGAATCAAGGACGACTCCGAGGGTTTTATCTCCCGGCAGCCGGGGACACGGCAGTGCCATGGACTGAGATGGGGGGAGGCGCAGGCTTGGGGTGGAAGGCCAAGTTCGCTACCAGACATGTGTGAGAGGCGCAGCCGACCGCCAAGCACAGCTGTCAGCAGGCAGCGGATGCACGAGTCTGGAGACACGACGCGAACACAGAAGGTCATGTTCCTAGTGTTGATTCCACGGAGAAATGCAAACCACATGGCGGGGGTGGGGGGTGGGGGAGCCAGCTCGTCACTCGACAACGAACCATTTCATGAGCAGCGGCAGCGGCGGGTCGTGGAGCCGGGACTCTGCCCCACACCTGTGTCGCTGCGGACGGTGCAGGCTCCCAACCACTAGGACACCTCCTGGTGCGGCACGGTGGCCCTGCCGGCCCTCGGGAAACCACAGCCAGCGGCTCAGGCCACGAGCTCCCTCTCCTCTCCTGCTGTCTTCCCTCCCGGCCCCGGCCAAGGTCTACAACTGCCCTCTCCTGCCCTTTGCTTCAAGACTGTCTGCCCTCACGCGGAAGCTTCGCGAGGGCGGGCACTTGTCCGTGTGCTTGGAGTCACGCCCCGGCCCCCTGGCGGACACTCAAACAGTGTCTGTGAGCAAAGGAGCGAGCAGAGGGGGGCAGAACGTAAAGAAGGACACGGGCGTGGATGTCACTTGCTAACCGTTTGAATTAATAAGTCACTTTCACTGATCGATGGATATTACAAATCTACCTTGCTCCGTTTTATGATTATTAGAATATGTACAGTACAGACGAGATAGAATATATATACACAGTTGAGCACAGCTCTTAGCCCTCGTATACAATCAATAAATGGAGACTATTAGGCTAACAGCTGTAATTATTAAAAGGACCTAGACTCTCATGTCTTAAGACCGGCTCCACCAGAGCCATAAACCCGCAACAACAATCAAGGCAAGGGAGGGAACAGCGACAAATTCTTCATCTCGATCGCCTCACCCACTTTTCCAGAGCCCCGGGGGGCCCTGGAGACCGGGAGGAGACCACTTCCCGGTGACCCTGCGTCCCCGCGCCCCCCGCCCCTCCACCGCCGGCCGGGCGAACCCCCGCAAGCCAGAGGCAGGCAGCCAACAACCCCGAAAGAGATGCCGGGCCTGAGAAATGGCTTCATCGTCGTCAGACCTCATTCCTGGACCCTCCCTCCTCCCGCCTCCGCCCAGAGGAACGGAGCGAGGCTCTTCGCAAACAGTCCGAGAGACGGGGGAAAAAAATTCTAATGGTGGATAAATATTTTATCACAGAGACTTAATGCGGCGGCAGTGTTCAACTCACCCAAGCCATCTATCTGGAGATATACAACTTTAAAAAGCTCAGGCTCTCGGAGAACATTTTATTAATGACCTGTCTGGTTAAGAGGAGGAGGGAGTTCAGGTTCAAAAACGCATTAATACCAGCCGGGCACACGCGTGGGAGACAGGGGTCGGGGGAAGGGAGCGCGATAAATTTTTAACGTTCCCTTAAAAAAAAAAAAAAAACCCACGTTTAAAGGAGGAACAAATTTTTACTAATTATGCAATTATTTCATTCGCTGGCGTGGGGGAAGAAAAATACTCCAAAGCCTTTTTAAAATATTTCCAATCAAGAATTTCAAGGGCCCTGCCCTGCTGTTCTCTGGCTGAGGCACAAGGTGGGGGCGGTTTGAGGCCGCCCTCTGCCTGAGGCTAGCCCCGGCCCAGCTCCCCACCACCACCACCCTCCCACTTGGGTGTGGGGTGCCCTAGCTCCCTGCTGTGGCTGATTGGGGACAGTCAGGCCTGGGGGTGAAGGCCCAGGGCGGTAAGTCCTGGGGGCCCCCGGGAAGCCCTGCACTCAGACCCCAGCCTCTGCCCCAGACGTGCCCGGGGCCAGCCCCAAAGAGCCCCGGTGAGCAGAGGGGCGGCTTCTGCCTGCGCTGCTGTAGCTGACTCAGAGGGCGGGGCCTGAGCAAGGAGCCCCTCCGGAGATGAGTGGCTGGAAAGGGCCCGTGTGACGAGGGGCGGGGTGACGAGGGGCGGGAATGGCCAAGGAGACTCGATGGCAGTGCACACAGTGCCATCGGGACCGGAGACGCCCTCGAGCCAGGGACCACTCTGCCTCAGGCCCACGCCTCCCGGAGAGGCAGGGGCTGGGGACAAGAGACGTCCCCCACTTGCCCCCAGTCACGGGGCTGGACGGTGGCACAGCCAGGTCCCCAGCGGGGCTGCCCCTTCCAGGCCCTGGTCTGCCCTACACGGCCCGGCCAGGCTCTGACTCTAACCTCGGCCCCTAGTTGTAGAGAGGGGGAAACTGAGGCCCAGGGAGGGGACGCTGCACGATACACGCGTGAGAGAGAGTGACGATTCATGTGCTGGCTCCAGCCTCGCCGGCAGCGGGACCGCGGGCCGATGAACCTGCTGGGCCTCAGTTTACCTGGCCCGGAAATAACCATCACGCTGATGAATGAACGCTCCTCCCCCTGAACGGGGAGCTGCACAGAGCCAGTCGGTCGGGGGCGTGAAGACGCCTGCGAACACACGCAGTGAGTCAGCGCTGGGCTGGAGGGAGCTGCCGTCTCTCCGCCTGCGGCCGGGGCTGGCCGCACACCCGGCCGCTGGCCGCGGGACAGCCGTGACCCTTCCTCTCCCTCCCCTCTCCCCCACTGATGAGGCCGCGACCAGAAAGGCCCATAAGATTCCCCATGTCTCTCCTTGAGCCACTAACTTGGAATAATTTCGCTATCAGCGTGAACATGGGACTATTTTTGTGATGTAGAGACACATTTATCGTAGTTAAAATGGATTTGCTGTGTATAATGGCTGAATCCTATGAAATACAATAAAACTAAAGCTGCAAAAAAGAAAAAGAAAGAAAGAAAAGACCCATAACGCAGGTCCCACAGGCCCCGGCCACTCCCCAGGGAACATGTTAGGGAGGTATTTCTTCTCCCCGTGTACCTACCACGCCCAACACCTGGGCAAGGTGTCTTCCCACGCCTGGTGGCATCTACCAGGAGCCAGGACCACCTCTGGTCCCACAGAGGGACCAGCGGCTCCGGGAGGCCAACAGGCCTGCCCCAGACCCAGCAGTGGCCCGGCCAGGACTCTGGCCGCCTCTGAGGGCCTCCCTTCCCCCTTGACTCACAGTGGGCCTCTGAGGTGAGTCTGACCTTTTGTGACTCCCAGTCCAGCCTCGGGCTGGCTGCGTGACCCCAGACCAGTCTCCTGACCCGGCCGAACAAACCTCGGCGTCTGCACCTGCCTGGCAGGGCCAAGCCCCACCACTCGGGGTTAAGGTGAAATGAGGTCCTGCAGGCAAAGCGCTTGGGACCCAGCTCACCGTGGGGCGCTCGGCAGGGCGGTAGGTACCCTGCAACATCGCCGCTTGTTGTTGACCTTGCTGTTAGTAACCACCAGACCCTGTGGCCACAAGCCCAGACTCCGGGACAGTCCTGACCAGCCGGGAGGGAGCAGGAGCCAGGGTGACTTCCAGGTGCCCCATCTGGAGTTAGGGACCAGGCCTCCGGGGTAAGACAGAGGCCCCACGGCCCCCAAAGTGCTGGCTGGCGTGCCTGCCCTTGACCCAGCCACACAGCCCAGGGAGGCCAGCCCCCTGGCTGGGCCCACGGTGTCCCTGGTTCTGGGGCCCTTCAGCTCCCCCAGCTGCTGCCACCAGTCCAGCCTGCGGTGCTTACACGAGACAGAGCTTCTCTGTCTCCCGAGACCAGCCGGGGGTCAGTCTGTCTGGTGGAAGATGGGCGAAGCAGGGAGGCAAGGCCAGCTGATGCCCGCTGGCTCCGGGGACTGCTCTGAGGCCAGCTGGGGACAGGAGGAGGCCCTGAGCAGGTGTCCACCCGGACTCGCCCAGCGCAGCCTGCAGGGGTCTGGGCAGCAGCACGGGCAGCAGATGGGAAGGGAGACACCCGGGGCGAGTTCCACCGAGGCCTCAGACAGACACAGGGCACGGGCGGGCGTCAGGTGGGCTCCGACCTAGTCTTCTCTGCCGCGTCTCACAAACAGCCACGCGGGAGGCAGCACAGGCCCCACGGGGAAGCCGTCCGAGCCCTTGGACCTCCCCCGCCCTCCAAACCCCAGCTAATGAACTAAAAGGGACAGTTGCCTTTCTTAGAAAAACCTCTAAGTAAGAGCCCCTTGCTTGGCCCTCTCTCTTTCCCTTCACCTCCTCCTGAAGGTGATGAGGGGGACCTGGGTTTTTTTGTCAATCTGAGGAGTGGCCGGTGGGGTGGAGACAGGCCTGGGCTCCCACCCACAGGGGCTTTCTGGTGGCTGCGTGACTGGGGAAAGCCCACGAGGCTCGGGACCTCACTTCCCGGGAGCCTGAACCCACTGAGCTGCAGGGTGAGCGGGGCGCGCAGTGACGGCGAGAAGGGCTTTGAAATGACAGGCCTGGGGTTGAATTCTAGACCCACCACTTTCCCCCCAGAGGCCCGGCTTTCAAGGCCGACCCAAGGCTGCCGCCAGGGTCAAGGACATGGGCCAGATAGGACGCACCTCCGCCTGGCCGTGGCAAGCGCTCCACAAATGCCAGCCTCCTCCCTCCCCCCCCGCAGGCCCAGGGTAGCCGGGACAGCGCCCCCGCAGCCGCCTCACCTGGCAGGAGGAAGGTGGTCCTGGTGGCGATGTTGATCTCCTGCAGGTGCTCCAGCGTCTCCGTGTGGAAGAGGCGGATGGAGGAGCCGGAGGAGAAGGCCATCCAGACACCGCTGCCCGCCTTCACCATGTGTGTCACGCTCACGGCCTCGTCCTGGTGCGCCTCGAAGCTTTGCTGCAACACAGGGTGGGGGGTGTTGGTGTTGGTGTTGGTGTTGGTGTTGGTGCTGGGCCGGGCCTGCCAAGCACCTGGCGGCCACACCGGGACGGGTCGAGGCCAGAAGGAAACCAGAAGGAAACCGCAGAAGCCCCGCAGTGCGTGTCAGTGACTGTGTAACCGGCAGGGGCGTCCTGGTGGGTCGTGTCAGCCAATTCCCGTGGTGTAAACACTGCTAACCGGGCCGACCTCAGGCTACCCGCACGGCAGCCCTGAACAAGGAGCACAGAGAGATGCACGCACTCGCGGCTCGTGGGAGCGGACAGGACCGGGCTCCAGCACGCCTCCGGGACAGCAAGGAAAGACGGAGCCAGAAGTCAGAGGGGGAAGTAGCCACCTATGCCTTACAGGAAGTGCGGAGGCAGCCAACGTAGCAGCTGGGGAGGAAGGCGGGTGCTGTGAGCCAGACCCCCCTCTTTCACGGCAGGAGACGCCCCCGAACGTCCGAAGTGGATAACCCAGGAGCCAGCCAGCGAGCAGACACGTTCGAGTCCCGAGGAAAAGTGCCAGCGCGTCAAAAACAGAAGCAGGTGGAAAGTATTTTCTCCCAGGAAGTGGGACCGCGGAGGAACCAGTCTATGCTATTTGATTTTCTAAGTAGGTGTATGTATAATTTTGATCTTTAAAAAAAAAAGGAACTCTTTTTAAAGAGAGAAGACAGTCAGCACTCCCATCCACGGCAGAATGAAGTCCAAGTTCTTAAACTCGGCATTCCAGGCCCACCTCTGCCTCCGCTCCCCCCGGCAGGCTCCCTGCACCCCAGGCCACCCAAAGCCTGCGCCCCAGGGACTCTCAGGACAGAGCATGTGACCACAACTCTCCCCTCGGGAGGACCTGTGTGCTACATGCCCTCCTGGGAACAGCCTCTCAGCTTCGGAAGACTCCCCCTTGGGGTGACGTCCCTCTCCCATGAGGCACCCCCCCGCCGCCCTTGCACCGGACTTCCTCCTGCACGCCGTCCTCCGCTGCCCCGCCAGGTGCCACCTGCACCACCGCGGCTCTGCCCAGCGCCTCCCACCCTGGACCGTGAGCTCCGGCCACAGACACCGAGCCTCAGGCCCTGCCATCCCCCAGCTCAGCACGGCAACACGTGGCCACAGAGCGAACGGACGGGCCCTGGAGTCCCATTGGCGACACTGAGTTGTCACTCGGATGTAAACAAGTCCCACACAGTGAACTGGAAACGACCTGAATACTCGGTCACAGGGGACAGTCGGGTCCCTGACGAATCTACTCGATGGGCTGTCCCACACCCGTTCAGAGGCGTTCACAGCACAGAGACTGCGGGGAGAACACGGGGACATGTGAATGTTACAGCGGTAAGTGCAGACAACCGGGGGGAGGAAGCAGTGCGGTGGGAGGACCATGACCGCCGAGGGCCGGTCCAGGGCCAGTGCCAGCTGAGTGTCCCTTCCACTCCCGTCGCCTCCACTTTGTCTGTAAAGAGCACGGAAGCCCGAAGCTGCAGGAGGGTGTTGGACGGCACGTGCATTTGATACCGGATCTGCTGTCGAGTCTCATCTCTCAGTCACTGCACAGGCCTGGCCGCGCCTCCCCGTGTGTAAGCGGAAGTTGCCACAAGGGTCATGCGGACCTGGGTCGGGGCGGCTCGGCCCAGGCCCCGCTCCCGGCACGGCCTCATTCACCCGTCAGGGGCTCCTGGGCTCCTGCTCTGTGCCTGCCTGGGTCTGGGTGCTGGGCAGACAGGAATGAACGGGAGTCCGAGGGGCCCGCTCTCGTGAAGTGTGTGTTCCCAGGGCAGAGACGACGGAAACGCAAAAACAGATAAAGGTTACTCCGAACAGTGGTAACCCCTGCCCAGGAGTGGGTGGCCAGGGAAGGTTCCTCGAGGAGGCAGCATTTAATCAGAGACACGGGAAATGGGAAGGAATGGGCCCCGGGGTAGTGGGGTGGGGAGGGGAGAGCATTCCAGGCAGAGGGCACAGCAGGGGCAAAGGCCCTGGGGCAGGGATGAGCTTGCCGTGTTTGAGGAGAAACAGAACGGTGGCCAGCGCTGGGGGCACGGCGGGAAGACAGAGGCGGGGGAGGCGGGCAGAGGCCAGGCCACCGCGGGCCCCCTTGCAGGGCACAGCCAGGAGTCTGGTGGTGTGCGAGCGCTGGAGGGGGCTGAGCTGGTGAGCGGCAAGGTGGGGTTTCCCTCTGAGAGAAGCTCGTGCATCAGCTGCGTGTGGCAGGAGGCTGGAGTCCCGGCCCCCGCGGGAGCTCAGTGAACAGACGTGGCAGTGACCCGCTGCAGAGCCACTCGGGCCACAGCCTCAGCCCCGAGTCCATCCTGACTCCAGGCGCCGAGAGGTTCCCCACAGAGATAAAGACACAGCTGGCGGTGGTAGGGCGTCTTCCACCGAAGCCCAAGCCAATGAGCTTGAATCTCATTCCCGATCCAAACGCAGGGCCCAGGAGGGCAAGACTTTGAGATGGCCAATGAAACTGCTTTCTCTAAGCCAGTCCCTGATGGCTGCGCTCCGGCTCCGCGGCCGAGGGCTGGTGCGGGAGGCCCGAGGGCAGGGGCAGCCGAGAAGCCGAAGACCCCCAGAGGAGGGCGGGGAGAGGAGGAGAGGTGTCCTGCTCTGAGGAGACAGGGCCTTGCCAGTCTCCCCGTGCTGGGGGGGGGACCCCGAGAGCAGCAGTGGTAGCTGCTCTCAGACAGGAAGTTCACCAAGGACAGGAGCACAGGTCCCCATCAAAGTGGGGGTTCCTCGGGGGCGAGGAGGGGGTCTCCCATCAAGGCTGAGCATTCTCAGAGGGCAGGGAGCTATTTCCACCCTCAGATTGGGGGCTCAGACTAGGAGCTCCGGGTGAGGGGGGGTCACTGTCCCTCCTTCCTTAGCTCCCCACCCCCACCGCAGTGAAGGCCCAGGTGCTGGAGGCCCAGCCAGGGAGCCTCTGGAATTTGGGGGGACCGTGGAACACCTCACAGCCTCCACAAAGCCAGGCCCCACCCATGCAGGGCTGGGGGAAGGGCAGAACTTCCATTTTTCTTGCCTTTCGCCCTAAATCTGCTGCCCGCAGCCTGGGCAGTGCTGGCTCCCAGTTCTCTCTCTTTTTTCCTTTTCATCGAATTTATTGGGGTGACACTGGTTAATATAGTCATAGAGGTTTCAGGCATGCAGTTCTATAAAACACCACCTGTACACTGCACTGTGTGCTCACCACCCCCAGTCACGTCCCCCCCATCACCACGTGCCCCCCTTTCCCTCCGGCCTCACCATCGCGTCCTCTGTGTCTGAGGGGGTTTCTTCTTAATCCCTTCCCCCTGTTTCACACCCCACCCCCCCCAACAAAGTTCTCTTTTCTTGAGAGGCTGGTCCCCCAAGGAAACCCTGGTTGGGGGGGGGGTGTCATCTCCCTCCACCAGCCTGCACTGGGGACAGCCCTCCTGAGGGCCCCCCGCAGGCGGGCACCTGGTCCAAACAGGACCCCTCCCTCCCGAGGGGCCTTGCCAGGAAAGGCCCGACAACAACGAGGAACCACCAGCCCCATCACAGAGGGGACCCTGCAGCCGGGCCCGGCTTCCCAGAGGGCCCGCCCTCCGCAAACAGACGGACAAGCGGACGGGGAGCGGGGCGGAGGGGCGCGAGGCACGCTTCATCCACCTGTTCCCAAAGGCAGCTCGCACGTGCGTGCACGAGGGCACGAGCACACACGCCGCCGGGAAGGTGAGTGTGTGCTCGCAAGCGTGCATCCAGATTCCTGCCGGGCTCCCGCAGAAAAGGAGTATTTCTGCCTCTGAAATAGCCAAACGGCCCCGGAACGGAGAGGCCCGGGACCGCAGAAAGCTGCACCTGAATTTGCAGCCTGCCAGCCCTGCGTGCTGCTGTCGGAATCTAATTAAAAGAGAAGTCGGCGGTGGAAATCCAGACTCATTTCTCCAGAGGCGTAACAAGTCTGTCTCCCGGCCTGAAGGGCTTTGCACAAGGCCTGCGTGAGCCCGCCAGGCCCAGCGGAGAGGCGGGCGGGGGAAGGGCGAGAGTGCACGGAAACGGCGGCGCAGCAGCCCCCGCCCCTCGTACGTCCCTCAGTTCCCTCCGGAGCACACAGTGAGCTGTGCGGCTGGTCGCACCGCGCCCAGGGGCAGCCGGGGCTGCGCCGCTCTGCCGCCTGCCTCCACCCCGAGTGCCGCGCTCGGTGTCCTCGGCCCACACCGGGCACCTGGTGGGTGGGTCACTGCTCCTGCCCGTGGTGCCCGGGACTCCCGAGACCTGGCTCCCGTGAGCAGACTCCCGGCATGAGGAGGGGTCCTGGGCAGCCAGGAGGGAACTGCGGGACGAGGGGTGGGGGCTGCTGCGTTGTGGTTTCCGTGCACCCTTGCCCTCCCCCCTGGGGTGTGCACTGGCCCGGGGGCATCTCATGAATGGCCAGCGGGGCTGGCTGCCCATCCCACTCTCCTTTCCACCCAACTAGGGCCGGTGGGAGCACTGCCCATCTGGCACCCCACCCCAGGTCAGGGCCCCCCATATCTCGCCTCCAGATGCCTCCTCTCATTGCTGGGTGGTCTTGGGGGTCCAGGAGTGGGGGGGCCCACCTTACCCTCTAAGGGGCCTCTAACCTGCTTGTGCCCGAGAAAGGGCCACCGGCCACCAGCCTAATCCCGCCCGTCCTCTGGGCTCTGAAAGGCCCGGTGCTTCCTGCCCCCTCGGCCCCTAGGGTCCTGGCATGACTGTCTACTGGCAGCTTACCCTGCAGCAAGAGCTGCTGACACTCTGGGCTGGGGGGCTGCAAACAACAACCCTCGGGCGACACCAGCCTGCCGCTGTTTCGGTGAATCGAGCTTCATTGGAACATGGCCACGTCCACGTGGAAAAGGGGCCGTTCAAGTGGCCTGGGAACTCAGCACCCTGGCCACACACCCTCGGTCCCTGCCTAAGGACAGCAGGTCTGCGAAGAAATCCTAAACTCGACCTAGCAGGCTTGGGGAGGGTGGAGAGACGGGCACAGCT